CATGGGGCCTGAACTCTGGGCCTGGGCACTGTCCCTCAGCTCTTCAGCTCAAGGCTAGCACTCTACCACTTGAGCCACAGCGCCACTTCCGGTTTTCTGTTTATGGTGCTGAGAAATTGAACCCAGGGCCTCATGCATGCAAGGCAAGCGCTCTACCACTGAGCCACTTTCCCAAGCACAAACCAAAGAATTTGAAAAAAAAACCAATACAAGTAAATATTACCACAAACACCAATGGGATGAAACTTTAATAAGGCTAATCTCCATGCTATGTGTGACTGCCATAGGAGTAGTTCAATCTAGGAAAGCATCCTGGATGAAATGATAAAAGCAAGCAGGAAGAAAATGCCTGACCAAGACCCATTTCTTACTATGATCTTCTCTTCCTGGGCAGTAAAGGCTTCTTCAAAGTCATCATGCTTCTGAAGAAGGGCTTCAACACTGCCCAGTGAGTTTCCCAGATCTTCATTGTCCAGGAAGGCCTGTAGGGCAAAATAAATACATCCTGATGTCCTTATTGAAGAGAAAGCTTCTTCTTGAAATAAGGACTAATGAAAGAGGCAGAAGGTTTGGAGAGCAAGGTGGGAATTAACACAGACTAATACAATAAGCAGAAAAACTTGAAGCAGTATGAGCTTTGGACTTTTCTCCCATTGGTCTCACAGAATTTTTTTACCACTATCTCTGGGTCTGTTTACATACAATTATCTCAACCAGTCTAGGCATTATTTAAGGTTTTAAAACTACCTCAAGAGGATAACTTACTTCCTCCAGGAAATCACCTCTGATACTTCCTCTTTTCCCTGTCTGACTCATCATAATTTTTCCCCCTGATTCCTTGCCCACTTGATATTCTTTTGACTGTTTAATTGAGGTCAAAGTTTCTGTGCTAGCATTTAGATATACATTTTCTGGAGACCGAATTTTGCTATGTAGTTGAGGCTGACCTTGAACTTTTGGTCTTCTTGCCTTAGTCTTCTGAGTGCCAGGATCATTGGTGCGCTACTACAATTGGCTGGTACTTAAGTATTTTTCCATGTCTTTTTGCCTGTGAGGAAACTGTGGGAGGTTTGTTGAGCATGCTCTGATGTTTGTTTTTGTCATGACTCATTTTCCAGTTTCCAGACAGTCTGGTTGTGAGGGTTATTGATAAAAACCACTGTGCTAAAGGAAAGGCAGGAGAAGTGATTTCTGAGGACTGGCTGGACCCCCTCCTAGATTACTTCTTACTGTTGTGACCAAAATACCCAGGAGAAGAATGGAAAGGAGAAAGGATTGATTTTGGCTCATAGTTTCATCATATTCAGTGGTTCCATGATTATTTGATGCAGGTGCTTAGAAAGAACATTACAGTGGCAAAGGATGTGAAAGACAAGAGTGTTCACCTCATGCTAGGCAAGAAGAAGGGAAAGAGACAGGAAAAGATATCCCTAAAGGACACGTCCCCAGACCCACTTCTTCCAGCTAAAGAAAGCACCTGAGAAAATTTCCAGAGCCTCCTATATTAGTGCCACCACTTTGCAACCAAGCTCCCAAACACAGCCCTTTGGGAGGACATTTCACATTCAACCCATCACATTTCATGTTACCTCTTGTCTGCTCATCCAACTGTCCACTTGCTCACTGTCTCGAGAGAAGAGGTGAAAATCCAAGCACTGCTGGTACTGATGCTGACGCCTGTCCCACAGCTCCAGCAGAGCAGCCCAGGCATTGGCAAGGGCTGTCATCTTGGGAAAGGAAGAGAGCATATATTAAACACTATTTAACTCATTAAATTTATCTATATTTTTCTGAGTAGCTAATAGATATAAATTTGGGGATGATTGAGAGATACAAAAATGCATACAAAGGAAGCATTTTTCTTAAGGTTCCAACATCTAAATGAATAGCTGTAATATTAGAACAGTGGGATGAAAAACCATAAAAGAGAAGTATTCTCTATATGTATAAAAGGGAAGAAAAACATCTATTTAGATCAACAGAGCCAGAGAGCAAAAATACTGGGCTAAACAGTGTTTTAAAGCGGAATGAGTATCAGGAAATGAGTATTGGGAAAGAATAGTAAACTATGAACAAGTGATCCATTGGGACAAAATGTAACTGTTCGAAATGTACTCCAGAGAATATAGGGTCTAAAAATGGGTAGCATTCTGATGAAGTTCAAGTTTGTATAACACATAAAATGTCAGAACAAGAATTGGGTTGTAATAAAAAAAAAGCCATCAGTACATGAGAAAAACAGCCACCAAGAGAAAAAAATACATTCTTAAGTCTAGAAAAATAGTCTTTGTTTCTAAGCAAGAATCTATTCAATGAATTCCAGCTCATTTTAGCTATTGCTATTTATTGCATCAAAAAGCAGCCTAAATTCTCAGAATTCCAGGAATAAAATTCACTTTTCAAGGACTTAGGGTTCTGCCAAAGAACACAATCGATATTGTAATGTTCCAGAGTCCTGGGCAACTCAAAAATATGATTGTTTCAACTTCAGCCATTAAACACAGCTTCAGGCTGTACTCAGAATTTAGAGAGCTAAAGAGAGGCACACAACCCAGATGCCCCTCAGTAGATGATTGGATCAAGAAAATGTGATGTGTGTGTGTGTGTGTGTGTGTGTGTGTGTGTGTGTATACAATGTAATTATATACTTCCATCAGAAAGAATGACACCACCTCATTTGTAAGGAAATAGACTTAGAAAAAATCATATTAAGTGAAGTAAGCCAGACTCAAAGACACACTGGCCCTATGGTTTCCCTTATTTGCAATAATTAGTATACGTCTAGGATAACCTTAACAGATGATCAGAATATCTCAGTAGCTATGTACATATGACCATATAAGATGATGTTAAGCAAAATGAATTTCAAGACATGGACACAAGAGTTTTTTCTTTGTTGTTGTTGTTTTTAGTGTACTATGTGATTTCTTGTTTCTTATGATTTCCTCCTATGGTTTATTCCCTATTGTCACTGTATTTGATTTTGGTACCCTGGAATTGTCTATACATTTATATGAATTGGGGAAGGGAAAGGAAGCAACAGAATTGTGAGAAAAAAGACAAGGGGGAACCAATGTAACAGCGATATACACAAGACAATATGTTGGAAATGACCTGTACACCTGAGGGGGGGGAACAGGCTGGGGGGAGGAAAAAAGGGAGAAAATTGAGAGTTGGGGTAAGAAGTTCAACAAGAAATATACTTATTACCTTACTTATGTAACTGTAACCCCTCTGTACATCACCTTGACAAGAAAAAGAAAAAGAGAGAGAGGCACACTAATCCTGTCATGCCCCGATTATGCATCTGGAACAAAATCTCACTGGATCAGGAGGCTAAGGCTAGCTCCTATGACCCATGGAGTTGGAAAGATGGAAAACATGATTTCCTCATCACTGCTGCTCTGTGTTTAAATTTGAGCTTAATTTGAGGTTGCACGGAAGAGTGAAGAAGTGGCATAGGTGCCAGCCATGCACCAGGCATTGGTATGGACACAGTCGAGGTCCTGTGGCTCAAGGCACAAAACTCATTGAATTTACAATCTAGGGATGAAACAGAATATGTTAGGAAGGCAAATATATGGAGGTTAAGATTAGGTAGATGTCAGACCATTGATGAAATAAAGCTCAAGAGGCAATCACTCACTGGTGTCCTGAGAATGTCAAGTGACTCAGTTTAGTTAAAACATCTGAGCTGCAGCAATGTGAAAGTCATGTCCATACTATTATCATGTTTAGGTGGCTTCTAAGTTGTTTAAATCAGAGAGTACCATAGTAACGAGGTGAAAAGAGAGCTATATTTGTAATTGAAATGTCACAAATCCCATTAAATAAATTACCTTTTCTTTAATTTCATCAGAAGCATCGTGATTGCCGTCCAGCAATTCTTGACCAGTTGCATCAGCCGATTGAAATCGGTCGTCATAAGAGTCGATCTCATGCTGTGGCCACAAGACAAATCATCTCAAACAGAGCAGCAAACCTTCTGACTTTCTTGGCACCGAACCAAACCCCCTCTCAGGCACTGAACCAAATCTCCCTTCTATAGGAGAGGCCTTTGCTCTTTACCTTATGCTGCTGGTGCCTGGCTAATAGGGCTTCCCCACTGGCCACATCTGTTGGCAATTCATCAGCATTGATGAGTGCAGTTTTCTCATTCATCCAGCCGGAGAGCTCATCATAGTCAGACAAGAATCGATGGTACCTGTAGGACAGGTGAGGTGCAGGATAGGTGAGGCAAAGGGCAGCCAAGGGAAAAAAAGAGAGATTTGAAAGGACTTGAACAACCAGTTAGGGTTGGGCTGGTCTCTGACATGTGACATGCTTCTCCTGCTAATACTCCTCTTCTTCCTCTGATATTACAATGGTAGTATGTGTGTGTGCATGAGTGTCCCAAGTACAACACGTTAAAGTCACACCTACTCCAGAGGCACTTGAAATAGAGGAGAAACCCCACGATGCAACCAGTAGATAAATAACAGACATCATTTCATGGCAAGAAGTACTCGAATTAGGAATTCTTTATGTACCTGAGCTTATATTTAGCTTATTAATAAAAACATGACAATGGCAAAAATGGTTTCCTATTCGAAAAAAATTAAGTGTTCATTATTTGGATTTATGCCACAAGATAAACATGGTCTTCTGGTGATGACAATACTAAGTATAAGAATCAACTATTAAAATAATGCCTGATCATGACCATTTCTTGTAAGCTTTTGTTGTTGTTGTTGTTGGCTATGGGGCTTGAACTGAGAGTCTGGGTGCTGTCCCTGAGCCTCTTTGTGCTAAGGCTAGTGCTCTACCACCTGAACCACAGAATCACTTCTAGGTTTGGGATTCCTTCCTTCCTTCTTTCCTTCCTTCCTTCCTTCTTTCCTTCCTTCCTTCCTTCCTTCCTTCCTTCCTTCCTTCCTTCCTTCCTTCCTTCCTTCCTT